CATACAATAAACAAAGATAAAGAAAGAAAGAGAGAGAGAAACTTGGTTCCGGTAATTCACATCAACAAATATTGTTTAAACAGTATGAAAACAAAAAAATATACTAACATAAAAAATCATTGTGTAATCGATATCGATATGGATCGATCATCGTTGACAATTTATACATGTCCATCTAATAATATTTGTCGGTGTGTTGTTTGATTTGATAATTGACAAGTTTTTTTTTTACTTCGTTTATTTTTTGTTGTTGTCTTTTGTTTTTTTTTTATTTGTTGTCATTTTTTCCCATTATAAAAAAAAACTTTCCTAGAATGACAATCATGATGATGAGTATTCTTTGCGGAAAAATTGTGTTGTGTGGCTGTTGAAACTGTTTTTTTTTTTTTTTGGTCAATTGACCTAAAAATGGTTATTGACCTGTTCCACTTACACACAGCCATGATGATGATCTAATAGTGAAAAAAAAATAGTAGAAGGGTCAGAGGCTATAATTTTTTTCTCTTTTCATTACATTTTTAATCGATATTGCGTGTCATCATCATCATCATCATCATCATCATCATGGAAATGATGATAATTTCAAATAATTTCATGTTGTGTGTTTATTATTCCATAAATGATGATCTTAATTAGTACTACAAAATCTGAATAAAAACGTTATTATATAATGATGATGATGATGATCCATAATGGGCTTGTAATATGTTGTTTATCCGTTAATTCATTAAATTATTTTTTTTTCAGTTATATGATTTATAATTATGTCTAATGATGGTCATCATCATAATTTTTTTCTCTTTTTTTTATTACCACCGACACGGTATTTGAAGATTTGTGGATAATCCCAATTCATTTCCATGTTCCATATGCCACATTTTTCTTCAAAATGATGAAGATGATGATGATGATGATGATGATGAATTTGCATCCATTTTTATTCACATATTCATGTCTATAAAAAATTTCTATTTTTTTGAATATTTTGGTTTTTTGGATACAAAAAAAAAAATGCCGAATAGAAAAAAAAACAGATAGAATGCAGATGGTCGGTCTGTTGTTGCAAAAAAAATGATTCATTTGGTTGCTTGTCAGATAGAGTCCATAAGCTTTACCCGAAAAAAAAAAAAAAAAGATTTATTTCATATCAACACTTGGTAAAGTTTTTTTTCTGTTCTCAAAAATATTTTTTTTTTGCTCTCTCCCAAAAATAAAAGATTCACATTCAAAAAGGGTACATAATAATAATGGCCAAATGTGAATGAATCCTGATGATGATGATGATGATGATGCGGATATAAATCATAAAATGTTCGTCATTATCCGAACAAACAAATGTTGTTACAGGCTTGATAAAATTCAGAACAACAACAACAACAATTTAGGCCCCCTCTTACAAACAATTTTCTAAACACCTGAAATTGTCACAAAAGACAAAAAAAAGTCTGTCTACTTACCTACCTACCTATGTGTTTTATGATTATTATCACCTAAATATCACTATTTTTTTCTATCAGCCTACGCATAGACATGTATACACACACGCACACACACACACCTACACATAAACATAAACAGTTAGCAATAATTGAATGAACAATACGAATTTTGAAGAAAAATAAAACAAAACAAAAAAAATTATAACATCTGCCTTTTTACGGGTCAAATAAACTATTCAGTAGATGGTAAAAACATTCTGCTTTTTGCCATAAACCTGGTTATCTATCAATTCAGTTTTTTTTGGAACCCTGGTATTCTTAAAACTTTCGTTCACATTGTTTATAAATACGGAGAAAAAAACAACATAAAGAATTACGGTAGAAAAATAAAAAAACCACTCTGATATTGATACCAGTATCAATAGATCAATATACAATTAAATCAATTGATCATTATAATCATATGGAAATGGATTCAATATGGGTGGAGAAGGTGTGAATATGATGATGATCACCAGAAATCACCATAGCCATAAATAGGTGCGACTTTTATTTTCATAGTTTCGGTTTTCAATGTTCTTTTTCGCACATTTTTTTTCAAATATGAGAATATACAACAACAACAACAACAATATCATTATTCATAACCATAATGTCAATGTTTGTGAATAAAAGACGAGAACTTATCGACAAGAGTGGTCCAGAATCAAATTGAATCAGGATCATTGTATGAGTCACAAAGCAAGTACTTTTTATGCATTAGATTTTAGGAGGACCATCGTCACCATCATCATCATCATTATCATTGACGTCATTTACGGTCAATTTGGAATGACTTTCATATATAATAATGATGGTGGGCTTTAATTGACTCTTATCACAGAGAGAGGGTATGAGGGACACGTGCTTGAACTGTTACATCATCTGCTCGCAAACATACACACACACACACACATTGATAATGAACCAATTTGTTGTTGTTGATTATATTATTTGACATGAATACAATGATCTACCAATTTTTATTTTTTATTTATATTTACGCACAGCCAATATTGTATATATTCAAAGAATCTTCTTTTTTCTTTTTTTGTGCCTGTCATTTTTAAATTTTTTTTTCTCTTTTTTGGATCTGTAAATAATTGGATCATTACGTTTGACGTTTTGATGATGACGTGTGACGTGTTGTCATTGATTCTCATTCGTTTTTTTTGACTAAATGCATGAATGTCGATGACAGGCATGCTTTTTCATTGAGAATGAATGGAGAGAAAAAAAATAGTGATGATGACCACACACAACGTCATTTGATCCAATTTGAAGGTGGGTAGAATCAAAAATATTGTGACATTTTCAACATTGGTGAATAGAATTATTATTTACATGATCAAGTAAAAGACGATCATTGTCATTCTGTCGTTTGATGACAAAAGCACAGCATTGTTTGTTTTCATGAAAATTCTGTCTGATTCACACACCAGTTAAATATTTTTTGTTGTTGTCCAACTCTATGGACAACAACAACAGTTGTTGTTGTCGCTGTTGGGTCAAACACACACACACCTAAACCTACAAAAGCGCAAAACCTTTGATTCTGTTGTTGTCATTTTATTGCTCCAATTAGCCTTTGTTAGTAGATCATTATTTGATTCATTTTAAAATGAAAAATTTCCAAAAAAACGGGGTAATATATGTTCGTTGTTGTTGATATATCTATTTAGGATTCATTTTAGGCAAATGTTTTTACAACAACAACAACAACAACAACAAAAAAAATTTCATTGATCTTCAGAAAAAAAAATTTATCGTTTTTTTCTGTTTAGTGAGAATTTGTGTCGTTGTTCTTTTTTTTCGTTATTTTGGATCAATTGAAATATTTATCAGCCAATTTCATTTGAGAATGATCAATAATTTAGTGAATAAAATTCTTCGTATCAATAGACGCGTGCCATTTGCCATATTGTCAATCAATGTTTAGCTGTTCATTTGTGTCGATTTCAATTTCATTCTCATTCTCATATACAAATATCAAATATCGTGTGTTCAATTGTTGATGTCGTCGATTTTTCATTCTATATATATATATTTTGTATTTAATTAGATCAATCCAGAACATTTATTGATAGTCGTCATTGTCCAATTGACTCATGGCAGCTGCATCTGCATCTGTGTTTGTGTGTTTAATATTGATGGTGATTGCTATAGAGAATTTTATTTTGTTTACTAATTTTATTTAGCAAAATCCATATAAAACATGATGACAATACATGAAGACAAGCGCCAGACAAACAAACAAACACACGAATTGTGTACAAAAAAAAAAAAAAAAAAAAAATTTCTTGTTTAATACCTTGAACATGGATGAACCATAATACACATGATTATCTTGTACCTGTATGTTTGTATGTATGTATACGATCGATCCAGGTGTCCAAAATTATTTATCCCAAGCCGTTCACAGGATTAATTCAGATACAGATGCCCAAAAAAAAAAAAAAAAAAAAAATTTTTTCAAAGATGGAATTTTTTTCTCTCTGTTCCTTGTTCTGATTATTGATTATTTTAGGACCATCAAAATTTTCCAATAAAAAAAATGTGGAATAGATATAATGTTTGTTGGATTCAATATGCCACGGTTGAAATCAATGAAAAAAAATTTTACGATTCAATTTGTTGAAACTAGATCAGGTAAAATTGTAATAAAAATCTTACACACACACACACACACACACACAGGTAATAAACGTTCATTTTTTTCAATCATAAAATTGGATAGGAAAAACTTTCACCGTTACCGGTTTTTTTTGGTCCACCACTTCAAAATTCACTTTTGTTTTTTAAATTTCTTCAGGGCAAAAAAAATCAATCAATTGAATTTTCAACTAGTTCATCAAACTATTTTTAGATGTCACACATTTTTTTTTAAAGAAAATTTGATTTTTTTTTTTGTTGTCACCAGTATAACTTTCTTCTATTATTTGTCAACAGAAAAACTTTCTCTTTTTCCATCAATTGACCAATTTGACTCTATTTTTAGATATATTTGTTTTGTCTGATCAATTTACCTGGATTTCAAGTGAGCCAAAAAAAAAAAAAAATTCTCTGTTCTGATAAATTACTGAAAATAGAAAATCAATTTCAAGGTGGCCCAAATTTTTAGTTTCGTTTTCATTTCGTTTGTTTTTATTGATTTTTTTTTTTTTGCTGGTGATTGTGCCGCATTTTTTTTTACAATTGAAAATGATCAAATAACAAATGAATAAAAATGGTCCCAAGTGTTCCTGATGGATATGAAATTCAGCAAAAAAAAAAAAAAAAATCAAATCAAGATCTGATCAAAAAGATAATCGTACAGATATCGATATAAGTGACCAAAGTTGTTGCTTTATTTGTTATTTATTTATTTATTTTTTTTGTTCCACAAAAATCGTGATTTCCGTTGTACGTGTTGTACATACTACATGTATATATATACAAGTGAATCTTTGGTCAACAAAACTTGGTCACGAAAAATGATGACGAAGTCCAACAGACCGTGATGATGATCATCACATTCACTATCTTTCAATGATGATGTTTTTCTTTTTTTTTTTTTGCTTACTTGGCAAAAGAAATCATCATCATACACGTCGATCATTCATCGAGTTCTTCATTCGTTCGATCGATCGATCGATTGATGGTAAAAGTCGGTGCTAAGAGGTTTCAATTTGAGCCATTTAGCAAGACAAACAAACACTATGTGTGTGTGTGTGTGTATGTGTGGATGTGAATCATCGTGAAATTCTGTCGAATATATATTGAATGAATGGACAGCACGATGATGGCTTAAATTGGTACTGTTTTTTTTTTTTTTTTTGGTTCATCAATGCTGATGACGATGACGGCGGTCAAATACAAACAACAACAACAACAACAACAACAAGAACTAAAAATTGACTTTTGACTTTTTTTTCGTTCATTGAATTTGGTTAGTATATTTGATAGTAGGTTTTTTTCTTACTTTACTAAATTCGTGATCGATTTGAACGTTAATTTTTTTCTGTACTTTTTTTTGGTTATCATTGCCGCCGACGACGACGACGACGAAGACGAAGACGAAGACGTTAGTGAAATTTACTATTCCCCTTTATTTTAGGTGTTACGATCATCATGATGATGATACTGATGATGTCCTAGGATTCGTGTTCTGCCTGAATTCGGTTTTAAACACACTGATCAATACAAACATAAACGATGGTCATCAATTAAAAAAAAAATAAAATACAGAGAATCATGTGTATGTGAATGGAATATATTTAGAAAAATTATATTGAATCAATGAATTTTTTCCACTAATTTTCAATTCATTCAAATAATATATATATAGATACATTCGCAAAATCGTGCACCAGAAAGCCAAGGATTGAAGGGTCCTAGACGGTTTTCATTTTCATTGAAAACTTTTTTGCACCAATCTTTTTGCTTGCTTTGTCACGAATTGTTACACACACACACATTTGTTCAATCATAAATTCAATTATTATTATTATAGTATCTATCCGGAACATTTAATTGTAATGTGTAGAGAAAAAAAAACAGGAAATCATTCACAAAATTTTCGTCTTATGATGAACAAATTTATTTTCATTATCTGACATTTGTTTTAATTTAATTTTTGTGAACGAAATGAAAAAAAAATAATTTACAGACAAAAAAAATGATAAACAAAAAAAATTCATTCAATTTTCCACATCAATATCATCATCATCATCATCATCGTCATCATATTCATCGATTGTTGATTTTATTATTGTAGTTGTCAAAATGTCATCATCAACATTTGATGGATGTTGATTTTTGTCGATCGCTAGTAAATGGTCACCATTATCGTTGATATTATCATGTTTTTGTTGTTGTTGTTGTTGTTTTTGTTGTTTTAGTTTTCCATGTTGTCCATTATTTTCCGTCGTTAATGATTGTCTTTGATTTTGACGATCGATATTTGATTTTTGTCGTCGTCGTTGTTGTCTATCTTGTACAGATGATGCTGCTTTTACCGCTGCATTCATGATAGCACAAATTCTTTCACGATCATTTTCATTCAACTTTTTTTCATTCCAAAGCTTTTCATCATCATCATCAACATCGATATCAATATCTTCATCCTCCTCCTCCTCTTCTTCTTCTTCATCTTCTTTTTCTTCTTCTTCAAGTATCACTTCATCGATTTCGTCTTCTTCTTCAGCCATTACTTCATCATCTACCATTTCTTCCTCCATTTCAACGACAATTTCATCATCACCATCAATAAGATGTTGTTGTTGTTGTTCATCTACATCAATCTCAATATTATCATCATCATCATCATTTTGTTGATAATGTTTTCGTCTTTTTCGTTGACGTTTGCTTTTAGTTGTTGAAATTTGTCGTTGTTTGTCATCATTATGATGATGATGATTGTCATTGCCACCATTATGTCGTACAATTTTGTTGTTGTCATCATCATCATCATCATCGCTCTTATTATTGGGGGTGTTCATTATGGATGATCGATGATGATGATCGTTATCATTAGGCGTAGGCGTTTGATGATTTAATAGTACCTTTGATGAGTTGGGTGTCTTTTTTATTCGTATATCATCATCATCATCATCATCATCAACATCATCGTCATCAACATTGAATGTTGATGTTGTTGTAGGTGATTTGGATTCAAGTTTTTTCTGTTGCTGTTGATAATATTGACGTGAACTATGTAATGGTGGACGTCCTCGTACCGGATTTTGACTATTTGGTTGTTGTTGATGATGATGATGATGATGATTGTTTATATCATTAGCACCAATCAAAATTTCACCATTCATCATTGTAGTGTTGGTGGTTGTAGATTTTTCGCCAACGCTTAAACGATTTGTATTCGTATTCGTTATTGTCGTATTTGTATTGGTCATTGTAGCTGTCGTAGTCAAATTATTATTATTATTATTATTCTCATTTGCTACTATACCAAATGAATGTGTCAACATATGTCTACGTAGATCACAATTACGACGAAATTCTTTACCACAATCCGTACAATTATATGGTTTAATATCGGTATGTGTAAGTAGATGTGTCTTTAAATTAGATCGTTGATTAAATGATCGTCCACATGTTGGACATTTATGTGGTGAATCATCCATATGTAGAATACGATGTACGGCCAATGTACGTGATTGACAGAATCCTTTTCCACATTCTGTACATTTGAATGGTTTTTCTTTTGAATGTATATAACTATAAATATATAACAATAATGAGAAAATGGAAATTTTTTACATGAAAAATATTCTAAAAAAAAACTTTTCAATGATAACCAAAAACAAAAATAACTTACCGATGATCACGAAGATGATCCTGGCGACGAAATGCTTTATTACAGATATCGCATGTATATGGCCGTTCATCTGTATGTGTACGTTCATGTATTAATAGATTATAGGATTTAGTAAAACGACGTTGACAATAACGACAAATGAATTCTTTTTTCGGTCGTGATGATATTCTATTTACACGTGCTAATTTTCTTGAAAAATAATCAGCTAAATGTGGACTTTGATGTTGTAATGTTGATAATAATGTTTGTGGATTAAAATTTGCTGAAGCAAAAAATGGACTAGCTGTATTGACTGTTTGTGATTTACCATCCTGTGATAATGTTGCAAATGGTCCTGAATTCAATAATGTTAACATCTTGTTTGCATGTTCAAATGCATTTGGATTGGCAATAAAAGATTTATGTGTAACAACTATTGGACCATTATCTCGACATTTTGTTTCAGTTTTTTCTTCAGTATCTTTTTTTCCTTCGGTTGCTGATTCGGCTAGTCGTGAAAAATCAAATTTTGATTTCATTTTTGCATTATTATTATCATTTTTACTATTACTATGAATTGATTTAGATTTCTGATTATTTTGACTTAGATCTTGAGCTTGATGATGATGCTGATTATGTTTTTCTATTTTATTTGTCAATGATTTAGATCGACCATTCATAGTATTATATCCATTCTGATGATGATGATGATGATGATGATTATGATTCATTTTGAATTCTTTTGTTTTTATATCTGAATGTAATGAACGATTCTGTTGTGATGATGGTAATGGCATGATTGGCCGAATAAAATTATTCATATTTGATTGTCCAGTCGTTGCCGTTGGTGGTGTTGTTGTAGTTGTTGGTGGTGGTGGTGGTGTTAGAAAATCAGCTGCACTTGAAGCAAACGGTGGTGATGATAATGGTGCAAAAGGATTGGTTTTAGGATTTGCAATCATTGTCGATAATGGATGTGATGGTTGTCCATTGCCAACAACATTACTAACATTATTACCACCAAAAGATGCAGGTAAAAATGGAAGAAATGATGCCAAATGATTGGGTAACATTGTTAACAATTGATTTTGGATCGCTAATGAATCATTCAGATTCGGTGGCATCGACGATGTACGATTAGTTACTGCCGTATTAGATGATGATGGTGGTGGTGGTGGTTGTGGCGTTGGATGATGGTTTGCTGAACCATTCATTGATGACGGTTGTGAGGAAGGAGGAGGTTGAGAATGAGTCTGAACAAATGAACGGCTACCATTTCGATGTGAAACACCGCCAACGTTACTACCATTGGTTAGTGAAAATTGGCCAGTTGTTACTATTGGTACAGCCGTTGTGGGTGGCTGTTGTTTACCCTGAAATAATCCAGGAATCTCTACGGGTGGTGACAATGGATGATGTTGACCAAGATTATGTAGCTGATGTGAATGATTGTGGTTGGTCAGATGTCCAAGATGATGAGAATGGGAATTCGTATGATTATGATGATGATGATGATGATGTCTAGATGTTGGTCCTAATGGTAAATGTGGATGTCCAGAAACAGCAGCAGCAGTCGGATTGGCCAAATTGGTTGCATGTACCATCTCGTTTTTTTTTTGCCAGTATCTTTTTATTTTCTCAATTCAAAATGATGGATCGGATGTAAGAAGGAAGATGAGATCAAATATAAAATTGATAAAATCTAAAAAAAAATTTAGAACGAAAAAAAACAACGGTCATAAAAAATCATTTCAAACGAAGAGAAAAAAAACGATCAAATTTCCAACAAAAAAAAAAAAAAAAATTCATCATTCGATAGGTATAATATGGCTGTTTGATTGATTGGTTGGTTGGTTGGTTGGTTTACCATATTGCTTGATTACTAATCAATTTACTAATCATATGATCATCATAATCATTGCTAATAATGATCATAAAATTTTTTTTTCTCATTATTGATGTTCAATCATAATCAATACATCAATTTAATCACCATGTTTGAGTATTCTTTTTTTGTTTTGTTTTTTTTCCAATTGAACAATTCTTTTTGTTTCCATACAAATTTAAATTTAGTGTCCAAATATAATTACAAATTACTGAAATCGATAATCATAGATTGAAATTAATGATAATGGTAGCCAGTGTGTGTGTGTGTGTGAGTGGATTGAACATAGAACAAGGTTATAACCGATCATCATTATCATCATCATTAACAATCATCATTAAGACATATATGAAACAAAAACCGATAAATAAGAATTCATTAATGTGTGTGTATGAGTGTTTCAGTTGCACCACGCCTCTTATTTCCTATTCATTTTGTTTATTCTTTTTGTTTTTTTCATGAAAAATTCAACGACAATTTTTTTTTCTTGTTTCAGGTTCCAAATGATGATGATGATGATGATGATGATGATAATGATAATAATTCTGTAAAAAAAAATCACATTCAAATGATGTTATCATCATATGATAAATCAAGATATAGAAATCGATCCTTTTTTTCCAGTCTTTATTTGTTTTCAACATTCGTAGAAATTTTCGTTTTTTTTCTGCTGTATTTGTTTAGTTCTCATAGTCATTATTTGATAGTTATCAGAGAAAAAAAAATTATGGACCGGCCAAGCGACCCGAAAATTATTACATCCACCTGTGTGTGTGTGTAATGATTGGCCATCATAATCGTTTTGAATCATGCTGATGCTATCTTAATTTTGTGGTACGATTAAGCAGATGAGATTTCTTATTTTTCTTTGTATATTTTGAACAAATAAAATCCATCATCATAGAAAACAATGGCAAATATTATATGTCTTTATTATTTAGGTATTTTGTTTTCTTAATTTGTTCAAATGAAACAAACAGAAATTCGTTCAAACACAAAAAAAATCCTCTCTGTAATTACTTATGCTACTTGATTCGTTTATATTTTTGTTTTGTTGTTGTTGTTGTTTTGTTTTTTATTTTACCTCAGGTCAAGCAGATGTGTTGTATTTTGTTTTGGTAATAATTTATTTATTTGTTTTGTTTTTTTTATTAGTTCTTCTTCAAAGCGGTTTAATAATTTTTTTGTTTCACTCGTTTGAATTCAAGATATTATTTTAAAACTAATGTACTGGTTTACAATTCAAAACAACATCATTTCGTTTATTTCCATCAAAACCAAATTAGAATCAAATTGACAAATCAATCTATCATCATATAACAAGAATGACAAGAATTCATCAAGATAATGATGAATTAAATCATATGATGATGATCAAAGTTATATTTCAAAAATCAACTTTGACACTTTTTTTCTGTTATCATCATCATCATCATCATCATCATAAGAGACGATAAAATTTGTAAACATGAGAAAATAAGATAAAGGTCGAAAAAAATTACGTAAAATGTTCGTATAATGTCGCTGTTGTTGTTGTTGTTGCTGTTGTTAATGTGTATGGATTCTTCAACAAAGAAAAGAATGGCCAAAAAAAACACTTCTCATAAATTGAACACTCGACTATCATCATGTCAAGTGGTTTTTTTTTTTTGTGTGTGTGCATTTAGGTTCGTTCATTAACACTCGTCATTTCCATATAATAACCATAAGTTGGTTTTTTTCCCACAGATATTTTAGATTTTTTTTTCTTGGATAAACGATCATTACCATACAAACAAACAGGCCAAAAAACAACAACAACAACAAGACATATTGGCTTTTTAATTTTTTTTCTTTTTTACCTTTATCCATTCAATGGCCATTTCCTTTATTTCAAAGAAAAATAAAAAACGGTATAAATAAGCCAAGAAAATTCATGAAAATAAATGATCCGTGTATGTTTCAATTGTTTGTCTGTAAATGTAGGAGCCCATAATTTGTCTCATGTAGGTTTTCTTTTCTTTTGGCGACATTTGATAGACTTGTATATTTGTATTGCCGATGTCATTGATGATGATGATGATGATGATGATGGTGCTACGGTGGTGTATAGAGTGCTCTAGTTACCATCACCATCAGTATGATCATAATCATTATATTGCCTCCCACACATAAAACATACACACACACGAACAAATGATCCAACAATATGATTGTTGCACACGAATTTTTTTTTTTTTTTGGAGAAAAAAAAGGCGCGACAGATGATCATAGTCTACAATTTTTTTTAGGCCTCATGACTGTCGGTGTCGAACACAAGGGACACAATATATAACGATTAAGTTCAAAAAAAAAAAAAAAAAAACGACATCGACAAATTAATGTGTATTTGTATCAAACAACCAACAGCGGCAATGACAATTAATCAAATTGTTGTTGTTTCCCAAATTTCCTTGATCTTTCATTTTGATTTCTGAGTATTTCTTTTTCTTTCAATCTTTCCTGTTTGTAATAAAATTCCAATAAACTTGCAATTTTTTTTGTGCTATTTTTGTTGGAACAACTTTTCAAGTATATCCATCGTCTTCACGAACAATAGCCGATATATTCGGTTGACCGTCAGTTTGACCACAGGACCCTCTATTGTTATATTTTTTTTTTTTTTTTTTGGTTGTATCCAATACCAAAATGGCATTAATGGGCCTTTAATTGACTCTTGATTTCGAGTGACTTTTTTTTCCTACTTTCTTTTGATTATCATCATGCTTATATCTGGTATTAATCGTTAATGGTTTGCTTCAATGGTGGTCATGACCATCACTACACAATTGAATGAAAATATAGAAGAAAAAAAGAAAGAAAAAACTATATATATGCATACCAGATGACCAGTGGTCATATTTTGTCCCATTGTCCACATTGGTTTATTGTTCACCATCATCATCATCATCATCATCAATGTCTTCGTTGGTTTCTTTTCTTTTTTTTTCTCATGACTGCATTAACAATAACAATAACAACAACGAAAAAAAGTTGATTTTTCTTGTTCACACACATACACACACAAGAAACAAGCAAAAAAAATTGACTAAAATGTTACGACATGATTTTTGGCTCGTGCATATCTGTCTGCGATTCTGGAACAAAACAATGTTCAAACAAATTAAGGCCACACATAGTATACCACTTTTTTTTGTACGAAAAATTAATGCATTTTTTTCAGTATTGTTTTTTCTTTGTTGTTGTAGCATTTTTTTTGACAAAATTTCACAAGATAAGAATGCTTGTCACATTGTTTGATGATGGAAACAAAAACGATGATCATGATGATGATGATGATGATGATCATCATCATCATATATTTGACGACATGAAGTGTATGTGATAAATTATGAACATTTTCTACTGTAGGTTTCAATGGACAGAACAAAAATTTATTCGAATTTTGGTCAAGTGGTTGGTCGGTGGCCTAGAAGACAAAACAAAACAAAACAAGAAAAAATTCCTCATAACAACAAAAAATTTCTTAGGAATTTTTATTCTTATTTCATTTCATTTCATTTTTCGAAGCTACTAGTCATTAGCATTTCGGTCAGTGGTCTTTAGCCTCATTTTCTTTCAAGGGTCTTTTGGTTGATTGTGTTCATATTGGAACATTCATTGTAAGTTCAATGGTCTGCCAATTAGCGAACGGTCATTTTGATCGATCTTTTTTTTGTCTATAGTTTACAGTTTAAGGGTGGATATATCTGAAAAAAGGGGGCCAAAAAAAATTTTTCAAACATTGAATGATTATATATCGTTGATCGATCAAATAATATACTTGTTTTTGGTATGAATAAAATCGATCAACTCTACATTTTTCTTTTATTTTCTTTGATTGATCAATAACTTGACTTTTCAAACATCGATCGATGGATCGATCTATGGTAAATTTTTCTTCTTTTTTTCCATGCATGGTCAAAGGTCGATCAATCGGCAGGGAAGAAATCAACTTTGTGAAAAAAAAGTCAACTGCAAATACAACACACACACACACACAGACATATTGATGATCATGGTTATTACCAAGTGACGATAGAATATTTTGATCAATATTTGATTACATTTCATTTTTGTACATCTTGACAATAATAAATGGTCATCGGTCAATTGTCATATGATTTTTTTCGTCTTGTTCATTCAATTGACTTTAAACAACAACAACAACATTCCTTGACAATATGAATTTGATTGTTATTGTGTGACCACTTAAAATGTCAATTTGATTATTGAAAATTTGACCAAGTAAAAGAAAAAATCAATTGTTCATTCGAGTTGTAATCACCTGTGTATGTATGTGTGACCTTTTTTTTATCTCTTGTTAGCTTATTCCTTGTTCAATTTGCACTTGACCGCAAATAATTATGATGATAATAAAAATTTCGGATAACTCTTTGAATAAATACCGACTGACCTTTGAAGAATATTGGGCCTAAAATTATTATCGATCCATATAGACCTTAGATATTATCAAACATTTGGCCGAATGGTCAAATCAGTTTTTTTTTGTTTAAGATGATGATGATGTTCCGCATCCATACATACATCACACTAACTGTGTGTGTGTGTGTGTGTATGTGCACATGTTAATAAAATAAAATTGCAGGTGTGAGAAATGATCCTAGATCACACAGGTGAGAATCAGAAGATCAAAAAAAAAGATAGAAAGGTCAGGTAAATTCCAAAATTTTTTTTTAT